CCTTTAGCCCCATTAGCTTGCCCAGCACTGCCTCCTTAGTGATAACGATAGTTTCGAGGTCCTCACCTACTATAACCTTCTTGCCATCAGTTTTCGGCATGTTATTTGTGTTTTCCACTGTGAAGACCGACACAAAATAACTGTTTAATGTCTCGGCTATTTCCTCATTACCAGTTATTAAATCGGCCTTCTCATCCTCTAAAGGACCAATGTTTACCTTCGCCACGCTTTTACGATTTACATATTTATAGAAACTTTTGCTGCCTGTTTTTATATTCTGAGCTAGTTTACTCTCGTAATCTATCTTACTTTTCTTTATAACTTTTTTTGTGGCTTTCTGTTGGCCTTTAAAGATTTCCCAATCTACTAGTTTCCCACTAATCTTTGCATTTTTGTATGTGTTTTTTTTCAATCTGATACTTGCCTTTATTTCCTTAGACATCCATGGCTGACTATCTCTTTTCCTACAGTTCTTCCTTATCACTGGAATATACTTCTGCTGAGCACTGTGAAAAATCATTTTGAAAGTCCTCCAGTGATCCTCAATTGACCCACCATGAAGTTTTTGCTCCCATTCTACTTTAGCTAACTCCTCCCTCATCCCATCATAGTCTCCTTTGTTTAAGCACAGGACATTGGTACTGGATTTAACCTTCTCACGCTCCATCTGTATTTTAAATTCAACCATACTGTGATCGCTCCTTCAGAGAGGATCCCTAACTGTAAGATCATTAATTATTCCTGTCTCATTACACAGGACTAGATCTAGGATAGCTTGCTCCCTCGTAGGTTCCATTACATATTGTTCAAGGAAATTATCGCGGATGCATTCTATGAACCCCTCCTCAAGTCTGCCATGACCGACCTGGTTTGACCAATTGATATGTAGATTAAAATCCCCCATGATAATTGCTGTACCATTTTTACATGCATAAGCTATTTCTATGTTTATTGCCTGCCCCACCACGATGTCATTATTTGGTGGCCTATAGACCACACTTATCAGTGACTTCTTCTCCCTGCTATTCCTAATTTCCACCCAAATGGATTCAACGTTATGTTCAGTAGAACCTATATCATTTCTCACTACCGCCCTGATATCATCCTTAAAAATCAGAGTCCCTTACCTTCCTGTCTGTCCTTCCGAACAGTTTGATACCCCTGGATATTTAACTCCCAGTCATGACCATCCTGCAACCATATCTCTGTAATGGCCACTAAATCATACCCATTTGCCATGATTTGCGCCATCAACTCATCTACCTTGTTCCGTATGCTCTAAGCATTCAGATAAAGTGCCCTTATGCCAGTTTTGCACCTTCTTTTTGAGTCCTGTCACCGCCATTACTAACAGCTCTTGAGTTCTCCTTCCCTTTAACTTTTTTCCTAATTTTCATTGGAGTTGAAGCTTCCTCGTCACCTGCTAACCTGCTGTTTCCATTTATTGTTATACTCCCTGTATGCTCACTCCTCCCTTCCCCCCTACTTACTAGCTTAAAGTCCTATTGAACAACCTATTTACCTTTCTCGCCAGAACACTGGACCCGGCCCTGTTCAGGTAGAGTCCATCCCAGCGGTATAGATCCCTCCTGTCCCAGAACTGATGCCAGTGCCCCATGAAAAGGAAACCCTCTTTCCAACACCACTCTTTTAGCCATGTGTTTACTTCCCTGATCCTCACCTCCCTATGCCAATTTGCACGTGGCTTGGGCAGCAATCCAGAGATTATGACCCTTGAAGACCTGTTTTTTAATTTTGTTCCTAGCTTTTCATAATCCCGAAACAGGTCTTTTTTCCTAGTCCTGCCTATGTTGTTGGTACCTACATGGACCACAACAACTGGATCCTCCCCCTCCCTCTCTAGTATCCTCTCAAGCCGGTCAGAGATGTCTCGCACCCTGGCACTGGGCAGGCAACACACCATGCAGGACTCTCTATCCTGCTTGCAAAGGACACTGTCTATCCTCCTGATGATGGAATCCCCTACAACTACAATCTGTTCTTTAGCTCCCCCCTCTTGAATGGCCTCCTGGGCCATGGAGCCATGGTCAGTTGACTCATCCTTCCTGCAACCCTGTTCCTCATCCACGCAGGGAGCAAGTGCCTCATACCTGTGGGACAATGTCAAGGGCTGCGGCTCTTGTTTTCCTGTCTGCAGGGTCCCTCTACCTGCCTCACTCGCAGTCACACACTGCTGTCCCTGGCCGCTGATCGAATTAAAATTAGTTAATCTACTAGGTGTGACTGCCTCCTGGAACACAGCATCCAGGTATCTCTCCCCCTCCCGGATGTGCTGCAGTGTTTGAAGTTCAGATTCTAGCTCCTCAAGCAGCCAACACTTGCTGCAGATGTGGTCACTGCCGTTCTCAATGGGACCAGCTAGCTCCCACATCATACAGCTACAACACATCACCTGACCTGCCATCTCCACTTAGTTAATGTTTTAAAATTAATTAGTGACTTCCCAAATTTATTGGGTGAAAGATAGCCATTACCCAGCAGACCACTCGCGCCCACTCTGGGACGACTCCTCTGCTGAACCACTGAAGGCTGTAGTCACGCGAGGTAAGACTTTTTTAAAGAAAGCTCACCTTCCCAGCTGCCCTCGCATTCTCTCCCGGACTCCCACTGCTGAATCACTGAAGGCCCCTAATCCACCTAACCTGCTCATCACTGGACACAGTGGGCAATTTAGCATGCCTAATCCACCTAGTATGCACATCTTTGGATTGTGGGAGGAAACCAGGGCACCTGGAAGAAACCCATACAGTCACAGGGAGAATATGCAAACTCCACACTCAAGGCTGGAATTGAACCCAGGTCCCTGGCACTATAAGGCAGCAATGCTAACCACTGAGCCACCATGCCATCCTTCAATAAGTTTCTCAGCCTCCCCTTCTTCCTTTAAAACTACCATTAAAAGCAACATGCTTGATTCCTGTACTGACAACAGCTTACAAATCTCACCTTCTTTGACTGACAATCTGTTTTCATCTTGACCATAATGCACACAGGACCTCTTCCTACAGTTAAATGTAGATGCCTTTGTTGTTAATAATGTCAAGACTTGTTGCCAAAAATGTGTAGCACATGGAGCTCTTGTTAAAATGACTGGGTGCATATTATTTTAAGGCACTGAAGAGCCAGTTTGTGAACTTACTGTGTGTATGAAGCCTGCAGCCGTGAACCATGTGCCCAGAAACACAGACAGCAGACTTGCCAGTTTGATTTTTGAACTGCAAAGTTAAAGGTTCAGAAGAAAGGTAAATGGTGAGCAACAGAAATATAACAGAATTCTTGTCTGTTTCCCCTGTCAAATGTTTCCCCTTCTCCAGAAGGCCCAAGATTTAAATCTTCAACAAGAGCCGGTTCAACTCATTGGGTAGTGCTCTCACCTCTGGCTCTGAGAGTCATAGGTATACGCTCCACTCCAGTTTGGCAGAGGGAGTGGTGGGCCCTCACAGGTGCCGCCCTTCCAATTGAAAGTTGAACTGAAGCCCTGTTAATGCGTTAAGGTCCGATCTGTATCTGAAATACATTAACCCCCCTTGGTTAGAACCCTCTCCCAATAAATACCTATCACCCTCAGTGTTGAAAGCTGAGACTAACTCATAAGACATTGTGGAGAAGAGTTCCACTCTTCCATTGTGGAGAACACCCTCAACCGTGTCTCCCACATTTCCCGCAACTCATCCCTCACACCCTGTCCCTGCAATAAGAACCAAAAAAGAATCCCCCTCATCCTCATGTACCACCCCACCAACCTCCGGATCCAACGCATCATCCTCCGACACTTCCGCCATCTGCAATCCGACCCCACCACCAAAGACATCTTTCCCTCCCCACCCTTATCTGCTTTCCGGAGAGACTACTCTCTCCGTGACTCCCTTGTCTGCTCCACACTCCCCTCCAGCCCCACCACACCCGGCACTTTTCCCTGCAACTGCAGGAAGTGCTACACCTGCCCCCATACCTCCTCCCTCACCCCCATCCCAGGCCCCAAGAAGACTTTCCACATCAAGCAGATGTTCACCTGCACATCTGCCAATGTGGTATACTGCATCCGCTGTACCCGTTGTGGCCTCCTGTACATCAGGGAAACCAAGCAGAGACTCGGGGACCGCTTTGCAGAACACCTACGCTCTGTTCGCAATAAACAACTGCACCTCCCAGTCGCAAACCATTTCAACTCCTCCTCCCATTCCTCAGACGAAAAGTCCATCCTGGGCCTCCTGCAGTGCCACAACGATGCCACCCGAAGATTGCAGGAACAGCAACTCATATTCCGCTTGGGAACCCTGCAGGCCAATGGTATCAATGTGGATTTCACGAGCTTCAAAATCTCCCCTCCCCCTACCGCATCCCAAAACCAGTCCAGCTCGTCCCCGCCTTCCTAACCTGTTCTTCCTCCCACCTATCCCCTCCTCCCACCTCAAGCCGCAAACCCCCATCTCCTACCTACTAACCTCATCCCGCCCCCTTGACCTGTCCATCCTCCCTGGACTGACTTATCTCCTCCCTAACTCCCCACCTACACTCACCTTTACTGGCTCCATCCCCTCCTCTTCGACCTGTCTGTTTCCTCTCCACCTATCCTCTCCTCTATCCATCTTCTATCCGCCTCCCCCTCTCTCCCTATTTATTTCAGAACCCCCTTCCCCTGCCCCATTTCTGATGAAGGGTCTAGGCCCGAAACGTCAGCCTGCCTGCTCCTATGATGCTGCTTGGCCTGCTGTGTTCATCCAGCTCTGCACCTTGTTGTCTCGGATTCTCCAGCATCTGCAGTTCCTACTATCTCTCACCCCTATACCTTCTTAGCCCCAGGCAATACTAGCCTAGGCAATGCAATGGGTCATAGAGTCACATCGTGTCTGTGCTACTCATCAAGCACTTATCCACTCTTGTCCCATTTTATCACACTTGGCCTGTAGTCTTGTATACTATGGTTTTTTCAAAGTTGATGCATGGGATGTGAACAACGCTGGCTGGGCCAGCATGTATTGTTCATCCTCATTGCCCTTGAGAAGATAGTGATGAGCTTTCTTCATGAACCTAGAACTTTTAAATGTTGTGATGATTCCCAACTTTACCACTCTTTCTGGTACTGTGTTCTGGATACCCACCACTCTGGATGAAAAAATTCTTCCTTAATCCCTTTTAAAACTCCTGTCCCTGAACTTAAATCTACTCCCCCAGTTATTGACTTTTGTCCTCAGGAGAATAGATTTTCCTTTTTCTAGTCCTGTCATAATTTTGCAGACCTCAGTCAGGGACCCTGTCAGCTTCTCTGCTCAAATGTAAACCACACCAAAGTTTTATAGATTTAAGTCTGGCCAGATTCCTCATTATTTAACACTCCCAAGGCCAGGGATGATTCCACTGAATGTGTGCTGCACTCCCTCCAATAATATCTCCTTCCTGAGGATAAGCATTGTACTGTCCCTTTTGTACTCCAACCAAGGTCTGGCATGTGCAGATTTCTTGTGAACAGTCAGTTAGGCCTCTCACACTAACATGAAAAATGGCTGCAAAGACAAAGTAAGGACTCATCTGGCTGTACTTGTGATCAGTATTTGACATCCTCTGGCAATCTAGCCTTTGGATGAAATTAGTTACTCAAGTTGATATCAATTTGACCAGTCACAACTGTACTTACTTTCTCTTCAAGATCCGTAAGTATTGTAGGATTTCAGGTAATTGCAGCAAGCGAAGAGACCTCATGAACCTCAAGCCTGGAAAAATAATGCCAAAGAAAAGCAATAACCTGGATCTGCTGAAATATGAATGGCAGGCTTCCTTTGTGTCTGAAAGATTAAAGTGCCAGATAGGGTAAAGCAAATTATGACTGGGAGCTTGGGCTGAATAGGTTGAATGGAAGTCTGCATAGAAACTGTGTGACATTCTCTGTTGTTAACTAACAAAAGAGCACATTAATTGAATTTCATTTTAGAATTCACTATATTGGAGACCTGAGGCCTTGCCAGCCCAGCTCCCATGATAGCTGCCTAGTTGGGCCAGCAGTTCCATTATCACATGTCATAACTCCAGTGCCAGCAGTGTCACCAATTAAAGGATCGGGAGAGGTTAACTGGTGTTACCATGATAATTCAAACACAAGACAGACCGTCAAGGCTCCAGGAGTGTTGCAACATCTGAACAAGGTGATAACAATCTGATTCACCGTTCTAAGCCTGCTTTTTCAGAATTCCCAGTTTCTTCAGAGTACAGTTCAAGGGTTCTCTGATTATTCCATTACAGGAATTACAGTTGGTTTCAGGAAATCGTTAACGTGAAGAAGATAACTTGAATATTTTAAATTTGGGATGATGGTTGCTCAAGAGGGAGTTAGAAAAAGCAAACAATCGTTGTACTTGCACACTCACCAATACAGTCCTTTTGGAAATAGAGTGCAACGATAACTGGAGGGATGGTGAAGAAGTCCACAATGGAATTGAGCTCAAACCAGAACCGAAGCTTGTCTTCGGCTGCAATGAACTGTTGTGGAAAGATAACAAACAGGTAACCTTCAGGCCAAAGCCTACTAGTAACTGTCAGCCAGGGATCACTCAGTTGTAATGGGAGGTAGGAGTGTTGATTGATGTCTCTCTCACCCTACCCCTTGATTTGGAGGAAAGGCAAAGCTCTGGAGTAAATTGTTAAGAAGGTTTTCAACATCCTGGGGGTTGCCATTGACCAGAAATTGAACTGGACTAGCCACATTTAAAGTGTGGGCTACAAGAGCAGGTCAGAGGCAGTGAGAACTCACCTCCTGACTCCTCAAAGCCTGTCCACCATCCACACGGCATTAGTTAGGATGTGATGGAATCTTCCTCACTTTCCTGGATGGGTTCAGTTCAAACACGCTCAAGGAGCTTGACATATCCAAACAATGTAGTTAGCTTGATCGGTACCATATCCACTAACATTTATTCCCTCCACTATGATGCTCAGTAGCACACCGATGCTCCTTAGACAGCTCCTTCAAAACCCTCAACCACCTCTATCCAGAAGGACAAGGGTAGCAGATACTTGGAAACACCAGCCCTAACAGATTCCCCTCCAAGCCACTCACCATCCTGACTTGAAAGTATATCGCCATTCCCTCAGTGTTGCTGGGTCAAACTTTTGGAACTCTCCCTAACAGCATTGTGTGTTTACCTACATCAGATGGAACTCAGCTGTCAAGAAGGCAGCTCACCACCACCTTCTCGGGGGCAGATAGAGATGGGCAATAAATGCTGACCTGTTCCGTGTTTGAATGAATTTGTAAAAAAATACATATATTGGAGGAATTGGTGGGCTGGGAACGTTAACCTCAATTTTGTGCTCAAGTCTCAGAGTGAGATTTTGTGATGTGTACAAGCTTTGACACAGTGGGTAATGCTTTACATCTGAGTTCCAATGAAAGTTGACCGTCCGCAGTATAATGTTGAGTTAATGCTGCACTATCAGAGAAACTGCCTTGCAGATGAGGCATTTAACAGCAGCTGTATCTGCTGTCTTACCAGACACAAAAGGCTCCATGGCATTATTTGCAAAAGAGAAGGTAAGTTCTCCCTGTTGCTTTGGCCAGTATTTAACCCTTCACCAATACCACAAAAGCATGTAACCAGATTTTTGATTGTGGGACTTTGCTATATGCAAGCTGGCAGCACAACACTGACAGTATTTCCAAGTGTGCTTCATTGCCGTGAAGCAATTTGGAATGTCCTGACGTTGAGAAAGGTGCTGTAGAAATGTGAGTCTTTCTTTTCAGAGGTGAGAGCGCAATGAAATGAGACTGATTTCCGCTTAGACTCAAATGACAGAAAATTACTTACACGCAGTCCAAAGTAAAATAAAAAGAATGCGTTAAAGCATAGATCAACCATCTGTAGGGTGTTCAGAACCACTTGTGTGCTTTCATTACTCCTGCAGAAAGGGAACAGCATGTTCAATTCATCTAATCAAAGTTCTGCTTCAAAATTTCTCTCCCCACAATCTCACTTAACTCTTTTATCTAAACCAAGCATTCACCGAAATGGAAAGTTCCAACTTCTTGCTGTGAGATGAATGATTTTAACAGTTTCTTGAAAGGCGGAGGGAGAATTTGAGATGACCTTACTGTGACATCACTTGTCCTGAACTTCTTGGGAATATTATAAAAATTTCAGAGGAGAAATTGCCAATTGGCTTTGGCTATTGGCAGTTTTTGCAGGGTACTAGCTAGGACTGGAGACTTGAGTGGATGAAATAAAAACAGAAATTGCTGGTAAAGGCCAGTAGACCTGGCAGCATCTGTGGAGAGAAATCAAATTTTGGGTCCAGTGACTTTTCCTCAGAACTGAAATGAAATGCCTCTTTTGATTATGAACATAAACTCGCCAAAGCGAAGCACATTTAGGAAGGTGATTCATGTGGCAAATCGTCATTGGACAGGACAGTGATGATCCAGAAGAGTGAACAGGGCACCAAACTTTGACCTTGGAATGTATGAGCTGCATACCTGGGAACAAGGGGTTCATGTTCAGGAAGGTGCAAAATTCCCTAAAGAATCAGGTGTGTTTGAGCAAGAGACCTATTTCTTACTTTCACAAACTGTCCCCGTTATTCTTAAACTGGTTGCTTCCTATCCTGGTCTATCTGCAATTCCTTCCAGCAAACTGATTGCAAAATCACCTCAAGTGCTCAAAGTGTATTGGAGCCCATTTAAATGTAGATGTTTGGCTGCTATCATTTCTGGGTCGCAATGCTGGCTGTCCACACCCAGCAGGTGAGCTTCAGGCTGGTAGCTCCATATAAACACAGTAGTCCTCATTTTACATCGTGCTTTCATTCCTGAGTGAAACTATTTGAAGTGAATTGTAGATTCCCATTGGAATTCCCATAGGAAAACTGGAATTAGATTCTTTCAGACATTTCCTTGCTGGGTAACCAGTATTCAAGTTGAAATACTGAATCACAGTACTGTGCCCTCCTAATTAAAATAAATCACTGAATATGACAGATATACTGTACTTATTATTGCATAATCTATATCTATACTCATGAGGTGACATATGTCGCTTTCAGTTTAAACAGTGCTCAATGTACCATTGTGGTGTAGAACTCATCATTTCATTTCATGAAAAAGACCTACAATAATTCATTAAAAATGGCAGATTTTTGCTAAATCTTGTGGAATATTCCGAATATCCCAAGTCATTGATGTTTGAATCCTAAGGAGCTTCTTGGTATAATAATTACTTATGGTATACCCACAGCTTAATCAAAACAAGCTGCTGTTACAAGCAACACCTCTGCTTCTGACTCATACTTGGAGAGATTTACTATGCTGAAAAATATAAACTCTCTTCCATTCATTTCTTTTTGCCTTTCAAAAAAGCTATGAGTTTTCTGAGTTCTACTAAGGGGAGGATAAGGCAACCATGGCTGACAAGGGGTGACAGTGACAGCGTAAAAGTGAAAAAAAGCATGCAATGCGGTGAGGATGAGTGGGAATCCAGAGGATTGGAAAGCCTTTAAAAACCAGCAGAGAATAACTGAAAAAGCAATCGTGGGGAGAAGGTGAAATATGAGGGTAACTAGCATAATATAAAAGAAGATTGCAAGAATTTTCTAAATAGTAAAAGAGAGCAAGAGTGGACATTGGACCACTGGAAAATGAGGCTGAACAAGTAGAACTGGGGAACGAAGAACTAAATAGGTACTTTACATCAGTTTTCAGCATGGAAGACACCACCAGCATACCAGAACATCAAGAGTCAGGGGACAGAGTGAATGTAGTGGCCATCACTAAGGAGAAAGTGCTGGGGAAGCTGACAGGTCTGAAGATGGATAAATCACCAGACCAGATGAACTACACCCGGAGGTTCTGAAGGAGATTGTAGAGGCATTAGTGGTAATCTTTCAGGGAGAATCCCAGAAAACTGGAAAATGGTTAATATAAAACACGTGTTTAAGAAGGGAGGGAGTCAGATGAAAGGAAACTATATTGTGACCTCAATCACTGGTAAGATTTTAGAATCCATATTAATCATGAGATTGCAGAGTACTTGGAAGTGCATGGTAAAATAGGGCTGAGTCAGCATGGCTTTGACAAGTGAAAGTCATGTCTGAAAAATCTGCGAAAATTCTTTGAGGAGGTAATGAGCAAGTTAGACAAGGGAGAGCCAGTGGATGTGATCGATTTGGATTTCCAGAAGGCCTTTGACATGCTGCCACACAGGAGGCTGCTAAGTAAGGTCAGAGCCCATGGTATTAGGGGCTGGCAGAGTGGAGATAAGTCTTTAGGATGGCAACCATGACTTGGTAAAATTCAGCAGGGATCTGTGTTGGGACCACAACTGTTAGTGTTACACATTAAAGATCTGGACAAAGGAACTGAGGGCATTGTCACTATGTTTACAGATGACAGAAAGATAGGTAGAGGAGCAGATAGTGTTGAGGACTGCAGAAGGACTTGGACAGACTAGGAGAGTGGGCAAAGAAATGGCAGATGGAATATAATGTGGCAAAGTGTGAGGTTATGCACTTTGGCAGGAGGGATAGAGGAGTAGGCTGTTTTCTAAATTGGGAAAAGCTTTGGAAATCTGATGTACAATGGGATTTGAGAGCCCTAGTTCAGCATCCTGTTAGGGCTAACATGCAGGTTCAGATGGCAGTTAGGAAGGCAAATGCAATGTTAGCATTCATTTCAAGAGGGCTAGAATACAAGAGCAGGGATGTCCTGCAAAGGCTGTATAAGACCGCATTTTGAACATTGTGAGCAGTTTTAGGCCCCATTATCTAAGGAAGGATGTACTGGCATTGGAGAGAGTCCAGAGGAGGCTTACAAGAATGAACCCAGGAATGAAGGGCTTGTCATGTGAGGAGTGGTGGTGGAATGTCGGTCTGTACTCAAGTTCAGAAGGTTGATGGTGGATTGCATTGAAACTTACAGAATACTGAGATGCCTGGATAGAGTGTATGAGGAAAAGATGTTTCTACTCGTAGGAGGGACTAGGACCCAAGGGCGCACCCTCAGATGGCAGGGCCGACCCTTTAGAACTGAAATGAGAGGGAATCGGGAAGCCCTGGCTGACTAATTTTAACAGAAAATTTAGAATCTCCGCAGTTCAAGAACCTGACACTGAGCTGGCTGACCTCAGCCAGTTTACTGCTCACAAGGAAATAAAGGGTGACTTGGTGATGGGATCCTGGCTTCCACGCAGTTATTTCTGAGGAATAAAAGCAAAATACTGCAGACACTCGAAATCAGAATCAAACACAAAGAATTCTGGAGAATCTCTGCAGGTCTGGCAGCACCTGTTGAGAGAGAGAAACAGAACGTAGCATTTTCATTCGGTCCGATATGTCTGTTTGGAAGAAGAGCCAAATCAGACTGGGAACGTTAACTCTCTCTTCACCAATGCTGCCAGTCCAACTGAGATTTTCCAGCATTCTTTGTGTTTGTTTCATGTTCTCGGGACATGGATTTGAACTGCATTATGGCCACCAGAGGAATTTGAATTCAATAAAAATCTGGAATTAAAAGCATGTCTAATAGTGACCCTGCAACCACTGTCAGTTGTTGTAAAAGTGTGTCTGGTTCATTAACGTCTTTTAGGGAAGGAAATCTTCTATTATTATCTGGCCTGGCGTACATGTGTCTCCAGACACTCAGCAATGTATTCAACTCTTAACATTGGATGTGGACACAATAGTTGCTGGCTGAGCTAGCTACAACCATATTGCATGAATTAATGAAAATGTAAAACTGAAAATAACAAAACAGCAGAAAGAAACAAGCCATAAAAAAAAACAAATTCATGAGAAATAATGTTAAATAAGGACAACTGTCTTTGACTGGCACAAGGCACTCAAATCAGTAGTGGGTGAAGAAGCCTTTGTTAGAATGCCATGAATGGCAGAAGTTTGTACCACATCAGTCCATTTGAACAGAGATTGTCAACTTTTGGGCATCTTGACGTGACACTGCAGCCTTCACGCAGCTGGTAGTTCAGTCCAATTTAAGGAGATGTCCTGTTGAACCATGTGTGAGTGTGCATTTGTGTGTGAGACCACTCATCACAAAGCTACGTGGGAGGCAATTGTGCAAAGACAGGGGCTTGAGCAAACCTGTGGTAGTATCACTCAGGTTGTAGTAAACAAATAAACAAGAGAGATGGGCATTGCCCTTTTTAACATGGGCACCAAGTCTTTTCATAAGGAAGTCCAGCAAGCATCAACAGCATGCCCTCGGTTTCTTCAAACCAATACTTACTCTATTGATGTCATGAAGTAGATGAAAAGGGAACCAAAGCTCAGTAAGAACACCATCATTACCTGTCAAAGAGACATGAATCACAATACATTAATGCAAGAATAACTGTGAACTCTTCTTGTGGCCCATTTCCACGTAACTGGAGGGGTAATTTGTGGTAGAGATTTGATGGAGCTGTACGCTTGTTCCACTATCAGACTATACAGCCTTTGCTGAAGCAAAACTGGAATTTACCCACACTCACTCTACCTCCCCACCCCTCACCTACTCTACCTGTCCCCCTCTCATTCCCCCCGTTCCACACCCACTCTCCCCAATCTATACCCAAACTCACCATTCCTTATGCACTCTATCTGTCCAACACTCTCACTCTCATGCCCTACCCATTCTTCCCATCTCAAACATAATCTCCCCATCCCACATATATTTCCCAGTCTCACAAACCTCCACCCTGGAGCATTTGCAGTTCTTTTGAAGCTTAATTAGTGTGACATTTGACCAGCTAGCACATTGCACCCAGTCTGATTGAATTATATGTTCCAGACAGGTGCTGGTTAGTGTGATAAATATGTATAATATGTAAAGATTAATTTTGGAATTCAGTTTTTAAAATAGAGGCAGATGAATTTTGGTTTCAAGGTAATTTATTTTGAAAAGGTCAGAAAGTTATTCAATCTGTGAGAGTTTGTGTCTTGGATCACAGCATGTATCCAAACGGTTCTTTTCAGATTCGGGTAAATATAATTAACAGAAAGTTCATCTAACAGCAATTTGCTTAAATATAAATGTTTATTAAGTAATAATAAATGATTATAGTGGTAATAGTAAATGGAAGGGAAAAGAGAAAAAGCAACAAGTCTCACGCCCTTCTGCCCGTTGGGGGCCCCTCGATTGATGGCTGGCTGGAGCCTTAGGTTTGTTCACGATTCTGAGCCAAGGTGAAGTCCTGTAATTTAGAACGAAACTCTCTCTCTCTCTTATACAGTGTAACAAACAGCCAGCACAAAGAAAGCGGAAACAGAAAGTCAAAACTGCTGGCTGGTACAGAAAACACGGGATGGGAACAGAAGCTGCAGGTGTTATCTTTGGCTCATAAAGGAATGTTCACAGGACTCATTCAAAGTCATGCAGCTTGTTAAGTATCATTCTAAACTTTCCCAGCCTATTTTCTCATCCTGTACAATCTATTTTCCCATGCAGCTGTCGAATATCATCGTTATCCTATAGTTCTTTGGCCCTCCTATACAGTTTGTAAAGATGTCTTCAGTTTTTAGAACTGAGAAGAAGTTTAGATCAACAGTCCAAGAATGAGAATTGGAAAGAAATCAGAAAACCATCTCAACCATCCCAGAAGGGATACTGGGCAGAATCAGTTAAGTAATTAATTAAAGAGATGAGAAAAGGTTGATATTTCCCTGGGATTTCAGTATCTATAAAGGATATTGTTGGGAAACATTCAAACTTTGAGTTGCTGCTATGCTACAATATCTTTTTATATTTTGTGTCGTAAGCTTGTGTTCTGTTTTTACAGGACATTAGCTGCTTTGTGTGAATACGTTTCAGTGATGAGCCACCATGGTAGCCAACTGCACACATATTAAACATATGATCTATCAAGTCGGGTTTCATTCTGGATTCTGACTTGTCATGTACTACCATCCTGACAGTAGTCATCTGAGAGAAAAGTTCTCTGGTGACTGATCTGCTTCCTTGCCCAGAGTCCCAGAAACAGTTGGTAGTTTTCCCCACCTTAGTTCCATTTTTACAGAGCCCTGTTTGAAGGCTGATTTTAAGTCTAAGTGTCTCAGGTGAAACTTTTCATTCTTGTTACTCACAAGCCCTCGGCCAATCAGAGACTGAGCTGATATCATTCGCTGCGCCCATTCCTGGACTGCGTGCATGAGATTGACATCCCTTACTTTTGAAGTTTCTGTGGCATTCAGGCGTGCAATCTCCTAAAACATATTGAGTATCAATAGTTAGTTAAAGGAACACTTAGCATTGTTCATGGCATTGGCAACTGCTGTAGATTTCCTAACATTTATTGGAAAAGTTCTCTTGGTTTAGGAGCTATAGGTCTTGTGCTCCAGCAATACCTGAAGATGGGTGCATTACTATGATCCAACCACAGTTGGAAACATCGCAAAAAGGACAGGCTAGGCTTGGCAACTCCAGTTAATACAGTGTCCTCCATGAATTCCTTCCTCCAAGTTCTCTGCTCCCGCATTCCCATTTTTGCTCGCTCAAGATCCATTCTCATGGTACCTCGACCTCCAGCTGCCAATCAGAAGTCAAATGAAATTTTTATAACTGATTGGCTGATTCTTGGCTCTCAGGTAAACAGCTACTCTCCCCACACATCCAAAACTTTTGTAACTCAGAAATAAGGGTGCTCTCAATCTTTTACAAACACATTGTCTTCAACTGCCCAATGGCTTTTCTCCCGCATTTTGCTTGCTGCATTGTTCTGCAGATGAGCTTTTAATTCCTGAAGATTCCAGGGCAGCCTTTGGTGGATGGCAACCTGACAGGAGGTTCATTCAAGTGAAATGAGCTGCAGGATGAGGAATGCTTTCTGTTTATTTACTCAGCACAATACTTTACCCTGAATCAACACCAAACTAATTGTCTAGATCATGCATTTCATTCACTATTTCATGGAACTCTGTGTGAGCAGATTAATTGCCATATTTTCAATGGCACATCCTGTGACATTACAAAGAGGTCTGTTTATACCTTCTTTTGCACCTTCCTACCAACATTTAAATACAACAGAATGTCCTCTTGACACAGCTCGAGTAAAATTCTTAAATTCCCCCGTCTCAGCCTTTCACTTCTTGGTTTTCTGTTTCTGTCATAGTGTCTTTGTCTGTTTATATACTTGTCTGTTTGTCCCTCTTTCTGGCTGTTTTTCTTTGTACCTTATCCTTCTCCAACTGTCTGTTTCCCTCTCAATGTTTCTGTCTCCCTTGTGCTCTCACCTTTGCCCTCACTTCATTTTTCCTATTTGGTCTCTGTCCATTTATTTATGTTTGACTCTGTCTGTCTCCAGCCATTTCCCTCTCCCTCTGTCCATTTCTGGATCACACACTCACTCTCTCATATCAGTCTGTTTCCTTTTCTCACCCATCCTTTGTCCAGCTCTTTCTTTAGTTTAAGGATGTGGCGTGACTGTATACAGTGGGCACATTTGTGCCAATGTAATTTGCCCACTAGACAGTGGACATTGCCAAGAGCTTCCATCGGCCATTCATGCTGTCAGCAAGACAAAAACTGTGGCAAAGTGGAACATCTGAGCAGCTATAAACAGTCCCCTGAAATTAGATTATTCTGAGGTAGGTTTATTTTATGCAAAACAAACATCCTTGCATTGCACTAGCACACCTCAGAGTATGAAGTTTAACATTATAAATAACACCTTTGTGGTTAACTCCAGTTGAACATGAATGGAAAACAACTGCACAAAGATGCAAAACACAGGGATTAGGGGCTACTTGTGCACAAAACACAGAAAGCTAGCACACTGGCACAGTCAGTAATCAGAAGCACTAATGGAATGTTAGCCCTTATTTCAAGGGGGTTAGGAGTATAAGAGTAGGGAAGGCTCACTGCAACTGTACAAAGTGCCGGTGAGACCACTCCCCTTGTTTTAAGAAAAGATATAATTTCACTAGAGACAGTTCAGAGAAGGTTCACCAGGAAGATTGCAAAGAGGGATTGTCTTGTGAGCAAAAAGTTAAACATCACTGGAGTTTAAAAGAATGAAAGGTGATCTCATTGAAACATATAGGATTCTTAACGGGCTTGATAGGATAAATGCTAAGAGGATGTTTTCCCCTCGTGAGAGAGTCTAGGACCAGTGGACACACTTGTCAGAATAAAGGGGTGGCAATTTAAGAATTTCTTCTCTCAGAGGGTTGAGAGTCGTTAGAACTCCTTGCCACAGGGAGCTGTGGGAGCAGAGTCCTTGTGTATATTTAAGGCTGAGATGGATAGATTTTTGATCAGTCAGGGAATTAAGGATTAGGGGGAAGGGGCAGAATGTGGGCATGAGGAATGCTGGAGCAGCATGAATCCTATTGAATTGTTGAGTAGTCTGTTTAATTTCAGGAAACTTACAGAAACAGTAATGAGGGACCAAATTTATAGTCATATGAACAAATGTCAGTTAATTAAGGAGAGTCAGCATGGATTTCTTAAAGAAAAATCATGTCTAACTGACTTGCTGGAGCTTTTTGGTATACAGGTGATAATTTCAAAATGTGTGAATGATACTCGGAAGCATTGTAAACTGAGAAAAACAGAATAGAACTTCAGAAGGACAAAGTGAGCAAAGACATGTTGTTGGAATAGGCAGATAGACAGATGCAGTTCCATGTGGAGAATTGTGAAGTGGTACATTTTGGGAGGAAGAACATGGAGAGACAATATAAAGGAAATGATGTTATAAAAACATCTCTAAGGGGGGTGCAGGAGCAGTGGAACCTGGGTGTATTTGTGCATAAGTCTTGAAAGATAGCTGGACAGGCAGAAAGAGCAGTTAATGAAGTGCAGGCTCTTCTGTTTTTACTAATCGGGGTATAAAGCACGAGAGCAAGGCAGTGATGTTCAACTTGTTTAAGATATTAGTTCAGTCTCAAATGGAGTGTTGTATCCTGTTCTCGGAGCTGTACGTAGGGAAGGTTGTGAAGACAATGGAAAGATTGCAGAACAGGTTTACAAGAATGGTTCCAGAAGTGAGGAATTTCAGTTATGAAGACAGACTGGAGAAAAAGGGAGTTGGGAAGAAGAGAAGCCTCAGAGCAGATTTGTTTGAAGCGCTCAAAGTCATGAGAGGGCTGGACAGAGTAACTATGGAGAAAATGTTCCCACTCATGAAGGGATCGAGGATGAAAGGGTGTAGATTTAAAGTTCTTTGTAAAAGAAGCAAAAGTGATATGAGCAAAAGCTTTTTCGTTATATGATTATTTAGGTTCTGGAATGCATTATCTTGAGAGGGTGGTGGCGGTTTCAACTGAGACTTGTAAAAAGGGAGTTAGACAGTTATTTGAATGTGCAGGGTTACAGAGGGAAGGCAGGTCGACCTAAGTGGAATGCTGATTCTAAGAGCTAGGCAGATGAATGGGCTGAATGGCCTCCTTCTGCACCCTATCAGTTCTGTGATTCCAGGGACCTGAGCCCATAATCCAGGCTGACATTTCTAGTACACTGCTGAGGGAGTTGAAAGGGCTGACTTTTAATGTGGGGCCCCATTGCCTCTCACTTGGATACAAGATATGTCCTGACATTATTTCAGAGAAGAGTCGGGAAGTTCTCCCTGCTGTCCTGGTCAATATTTATTCCTCAAATAAAGTGCCGTAAAAGTAAATTATCGCATTGTTTGTGGGATGTTGCACAGATTAGCTATCACAACAGTGACTGTCATCCAGAAGTATATTGGCTGTAATGCTGTTTGGAATATCCTGGGGTTGTGAAAGATGTTTGATCAACACAAGAATGGTCATGGCAAACTATACCTCTGCTGTCAATCTCTGTGTTAGTTTCTCCAGGACAAGGTTGCTGATCTGGTGTTTCCCACTGATAGAGATTTGGTGAGTTTCTAACTTGTCTTTGTTTCTTGCCCACTAATTCAAAGGGAAAGAAAGAGAGAAATTAATTAAATGTGCTGGCTTGGAGAAGTAATTCAGGGTACAGTCTCATTCAATTTATATAGTCATAGAGTCATATAGCTTGGAATCAGAGCCTTCGGCCCAACTGGTCCATGCCAATGAGGTTTCCTAAACTGAATTAGTCCCATTTGCCTCTGTCACTCTAAATCCTTCCTATCCACATACCTCTCCAAATGTTTTTTAAATGTTGTAATTGTACTCATCTCTACCACTTCCCCTGGCAGCTTGTTCCATGTATGCACCACCCTCTGTGTGAAAGATTTACCCCTCAGGTCCCTTTTAAATCTTTCCCCTCTTACCTTAAACCTGTGCCCTGTAGTTTTGGACTACCCTACCCTAGGGAAACGCCTTTGGCTATTCACCTTACCTATGCCCCTCATGATTTTATAAACCTGTATAAGATCTGTGACTTCTCTGTGTTTCAGCCACACTCATCAGAGGTTTGTGGGTGTAATCTATACTGGAAAAAACACTCATCCTTGTTGAAACTTTTTGGGCTGTGCTGAAGTCCTCATTTATCAAAATCAAGGTCTCCTGCCTTACAGAGATAGTAGGAACTGCAGATGCTGGAGAATCTCCTGCCTTACCTCAGCTTTTACCCCAGTAGAAAGCACCACGATCTAAAACAGGAAGCCACTACATCACGCATCTCCCCAGGCCAAGATTTGTTTCTTCCACTGTCCTTTTGTGCTCCATCTTTTACCTCCTGTTACCTATGAGGTGGACAGACCCAACTCATTTCCCCGGGTGCAGAGATCATATCAGACAGAAAATAACAGACCTGACTCCTATTTCTCCATGAGATCTCTTAGGCTTAGAGTGAACTTCCGAGGAAGACAAAGTTTGCAGAGTTTGCTTCTGGGCCTTTTTGATCTTCTGTTCCATTGCTGTGAAGAATGGGTGAGGGAGGATGAGGAGGTAATGTTTACTCATGATACTGGGGCCATCTTTAATGTATGAGAAGTGGCTTGAAGAGCCAGCTGCACTTCACCTGCAGTCAACTTCTTACACTTTATCATCCTGTTAAACTGTTGACCAACTAATTTCCTTTTCTGCTTCCATGCCTGCTGATTTTGTAGATAGTTGGATTTGCTGAGGTTTTATTCCTTCCTTTGAAAATCATATCTAGTCTCCTCACAAAGCCATGCTTGATCCCTCTGTAAATTCACCTCATTCCTTCATCCTTCTGTACTGTACCTCAA